CTTCTGCAGCCTCCTCTGTGGTCACCCTGCCACAGTCACTCCTGTCTCTTTTGCTGTCCTGGACTCAGAGGTCCCTACCTCAACACCTCATTCTGTTCTCATCTCTTCCTCTTCTCACTCACAAGTTTCTGTGTCTACAAGATCTCATACAACACCTACTCCCCATTGCCCCTCTCCTTCTCCAAAGTCCAAAACATCCCCATTGTTAAACTCTCCTTTAACCCCTCCTCTCCTTCTGCAACCTGCACATTTTTCCTTCCCAGCCTCTGTACCTAGTTCTTCACCTCTAACTGGCTGTTATGAGTGTGGAGGTTCATCCCCCTCCTCGTACAGTACCTTCTTTCCCTGTCCCCTCCCAAGTTTCTTCCTCTTCTGCTTTCTCTCCTGTCCCCTCCCAAGCTTCTTCCCCAGTTCCCTCTACCCTTTCATTTCCCCCTACTTTGGTACAGTCCATTGTTACCCTGATCTTTACTCACCCTCCTCCTTCCATCTCCAGTATTGTACCACATACAACATCCTTGTCCTCTGAAACACTTGAAGCTATCTTAGAATATATTGAGGAGACTAGACTATTGATGGACACTCATCCGCCTCCTGTTCCTCCTCTTCACTCTTCTCCGTCTGCACAACTCATTTCTTCGCAGCGTCCCAATCCTTCGCTACTTAAAAGTTTTCCGCTGCCTCCACATGTGGACTTTTTTAACCCTACTAGTCCGTAGATACCTCTACCTTCAGATTTTTTGTATCTTTCTCTTTGCAAATCATGGCTTATTTACAGTGGAATATCTGCAGCCTCAGAGGTAACTGGGGTGAGCTTCAGGTGTTGCTCTCCCAGTTTTCCCATTTGTGTTTGTTTACAAGAACCCAAATTATGCTCCACTGTTATCCATCCCATCTCGGGCTATTATTTTTTTTTTACACTGTGTTCATCAGATCCTTTTTCCGATGGATCCTTTATTGAGAGTGCACTTCGCTGCATTACACTGCAGCCCGTATCCACTTGAATGAGTGGTATACAATTTGTTCTTTGTATCTCTTTTCTTCTTGGGTATCATCTATCCCAGGTGTTGCATTTCTGGTTTCTTTCTCACCACCACCACTTCTGTTACTTGGTGACCTAGCAAATTGGGACCTTTATTCGCAATATAACTGCTTTTAGTGAGGTTCCTTCTTCGCCCACCATTGATGAGCTTTTACACCTCTTCTCGACCTCAGTTTTACCCGCAGCTTCACATTCTATATCCAAACCTTGGGCAGGCATCATCAGAAGTGTGTGCCTTGGTGGTCTCCTGCTTATGCTCGGGCAGTACCTTTGAAATGTGCTGTGTGGGGCAGGTACCTGTACAGTAGAACCACAGAGGGACTCCTTGATTTTAAACAGAAGAGAGTAGTCACTCGCCGTTTCATCTGTGACGCTAAACGCTCTTGCTGGCGGGATTATGTTTCTACTGTCACTTCTGCTTCCTCTATGAGTGCAGTCTGGAAAAAAGTACGGAAATTGAGTGGTAAATCCTCTCCCGACCCGGCTCCTGTTCTTCGGGTTGCAGGTGTTGATATCGCAAACCCTCTTGATGTTGCCCCCGAAATTGGTAATCATCTCATCCGTATCTCTCAGGGGTTTCATCTATGCCCCTCGTTTCATTCCTCAAAGTCTGCCAGAGAGTTAGAGCCCTTAAACTTTTCTTCTATCAGAGAAGAATCTTATAATGTGCCTTTTACACTTCTGGAACTGGAGGCAACTCTAAGCTTGCCGGTCATCAGCAGCTGGGCCTGACAGCATTCATATTCATGTGCTACAACATTTACATTGGTCAGCCCTTGCAGTCCTCTTACGACTCTTTAATTGTATTTGGTCACAAGGAGTTCTTCCCCAGCTGCGGAAATCTGCCATTGTTCTCCCTCTCCACAAACTAGGTACTATGGGACATGATGCCTCCCACTATCATCCCATTGCTCTTACCAGTACATGGTTTAGCACTTCTTTTTGATTATAATAATAATAATCTTGCCGGTGTAGTTTGCAAGGTAATGGAACGTCTGGTAAACAGACATTTGATGTGGTATTTAGAGAGACAACAATCTCTCCACTAGTCAGTATGGCTTTCTCAAAGGCCATTCTACCATTGACTTCTTACTACGTTTAGATACGTATGTCCGTGATGTCTTTGCCAATAACCATTCAGTTATCGCCTTCTTTTTTGACCTTGAGAAGGCATATGACACAATCTATCATTTTTCCTTAAGAACTTCTTAACTGAAAGACATTTCTGTGTTCGGGTTAATAATATGCTTTCCTGGGACTTTATCCAAGCTGTAGGTATCCCCCAGGGGTGTGTTCTGAGCACAACACTGTATCATATTTCTGTGTTAATTATATTGTTTATTATGTCATATTAGATGAATTGTGATACATAAATAAGCCGTACACTTGATAATAGTGTCATATTCAAGTACGTATTTTTTTTCTTAGTCTCCAAAGTCCAGGAATGGATTAATGGCTTTTCATTTAATTTGAATGAGGAAAATTAATTTGATATATGAGTAAATTGAGTTACAAGCTAGGCCACAGAACGGATTAAACTTGTAAGTCAAGGTTCCACCGTACTTTCTCTAGACATTCTGTCGTCTTTGATCACCCATTGTTCCTACATGGCTCGTGTGTCCCAGAACGTGATGTGGTCAGGTTTCTCAAGCCTTCTGTTTGACGTAGGTTATCCTGGAAACCTCACATTACCTCTCTGAAGGCGACTTGTCATAGCTGGCTGAGCCTTCTTAAAACACTCACTCATCTTTCATGGGGGGCTGATCGTAGAACTCTCCTTCAACTTCATTCAGCCCTAATTTTATCAAAACTCGATTATGGTGACCAGATATACTCAGCGGCCTCTCCTCCAACTCTCTCCAGCCTTAATCCCATCCATCACCAGGGATTACGTTTATGCTTCGGTGCTTTTCACTCTTCACCGGTTGAGAGCCTCTATGCAGAGGCGAATATCCCATCCTTGTCTGATCACCATGATGCTCATTGCCTTTGCTATTTTGTTCACTCTCATGACCTCCATAATCCTTCCATATATAGGATAGTTAATGATGTTAGTAGATGTTCTTAATATGTTTGTTTCCCGTTCACTCTGTCCCTTTTCTCTTCGCCAACATTCGCTCTTGTTGTCTTTTCAGTTACCACCTTTCTGTGTTCATGTAGCATCTCACTTTTCCCTACCCCCTTGGGAAGTTCCGACAGTTCGTGTCTGTTCTTTGCTACTGCCATGTGCGAAAGCCCTACTGCGTACAGTGGCTTCTCGCTCTCGTTTTCTTAACCACTTCCAATCTCATTGGCATGCCATTGCAGTGTACACTGATAGTTCCCAGTCTTCTGACGGCATCGGATTCGCAGCAGTGTTTCCTGACAGCGTCATGCGAGGGCATTTATTATTCCCGTCTAGCATTTTCACGACTGAATTGTATGCCATTCTCGTAGTACATGTACTTATCCGTATTGCATCTATGCCTGTGTCACCATTTGTGGTTGTTTCAGACTCTCTTAGTGCTTTAAAGGCTATATGAAAATTTGATACACCTTATCCCCTGGTTCTTTGTATCCAACTTTGGTTATGCCATATCTCTAGCAAGCACAAAGATATTGTTTTTTGTTGGGTCCCCAGTCATGTTGACATACAGGGCAACGAACAGGCAGACACTGCTGCGAGGTCAGCAGTACATGACCTCCCAGTTTCACATAGAGGTGTTCCATTCACTGACTATTTTGCTGTAATTGCTACCCACCTTCGCACCTATTGGCAACAATGTTGGTCTGATCTGCTCAATAATAAACTACATTCTATTAAACCGGGTACATGTATAGGTTTCTGGCTGTCTTCTTATCAACAGTGTTGAGGTTAGGAGACTACTCTCTTTCATCTTCACATCAGCCACACTCATTTTACTCACAAGTATCTCATGGAGAGGTGCCCTGTTCCACTCTGTGAGAATTGTCAGGTTCCAGTTTCTGTTAGCCACATTCTACTGGACTGCCCACTCTATCAACGAGCACGCAGAATTTACCTCCAACGTCGTCACTGCTCTACTGCCCTTACTTTACCTTCCCTTTTTGCTGATGGACCATCCTTTAACCCAGACTCTCTCATTGACTTTTTGACAGCAATTGTTTTACTACACAAACTCTGATGATGATGAGGCCTCTAGTACTCCTTACAGCCCTTTCTACCTCAGTCTCTTGCTACCCTCTACCCCTGCACTATCCACTACCCCGCTGCACACTATGACCTAATAATCATCCATCTCCCTCTTGCTACCCAATACCCCTGCATCCTTCCCTGCCCGGCGGAGCTGTATGATCCTTGTAGGTTTAGTGCTTCTTTATTATTATAATTCACTGCCCCTTACTTGTCAGAGGAGAGCTAATGGCATACTTCTACAACTTCCTTTGGACCCATGATGGCTTATCTCACATTAAAAAATGCACCAAAACCACAAAATAACAAAAAAATTCACAACATGCACAACAAAAGCTCAAGAGAAGTTTACAGCACATGAGTTGGTGGCTACGTATACTTTCTCATACCCATGTTCTCGACCCATTGTCCAGTGCGCAGTCCGTGAGCAGCCCTGTTCTGTACATGTGAAAACTTGTCTGTCGACAACCATGAGAACGTACGAAAACCAGGACATTTTTTCTTGAAGACCTCTTTTGAAAACTGATTTATTGAACAAGTACTAATGCAGTCGACATCCGAGGTTCAGCTGTATTTATATGGTCTTTCTTTTTACTTTGTTAAACTACCTTTTTATTGTAAACCCAATGATCTCACTTTTTTCACCTGCTGCTTCATCTCACTTTCTTGCTTTATAAATACTCACTGTTTTGCTTTATTTTGTATATTAAGGCTTGATAAAGCCTCAAATGAACAAAATGTAGTGTAAGCAAATATAGAAATATTACAAATGGGCTTTTTTGCCTAAAATGTTTTATGTTATTTCAGTACATGTGGCTGGAGCCATCAGACAGTTATGTGAAGGAAGAAGCTGTCAAGACTAAGGGAAGTCCAGGAAAATATTCAGCAACTGGAAGAATAAATAGAATAAAAAAGGGTCTGAATACAATTTATACACAACCAAAAAAAATACCAAATCCACCTGGACAACTAGGAATTCCATGGAGAGTGGAGCATAGGCTGTTCGAGAGAAGGTATTGTGTTGGCATTATGTTGAATACATTATGTTTAATATAAATAATGACTAATCATAAATCTTTCCAAATGCATTTTGTCACAAAGATTTACATATTTCCTCTTCTTTTGTCCCCTTTCATGCCTCTATTTTGTACTTTTGTCTTCACACATTTTCAAAATATTGCATACAAATAAATTTATTGGTAATCACGTTAGTACTTTTAAAGTTAATATGTTATGTTCCCTCATGTTATTTTTACTCAGGTACATTATTTTAAGTCTTGTCTTTTTCAATTATTATTTCTTGATGCTGGAGAAAGTGACATTTGGATGGCAACTAGTGCCACAGATAATAAATGAGTCAAAAGAATTCAAGAGGCTTTTTTTTTTTTTTTTTTTTTTGGTGTTGTGAATCTCAGACTCAAAACAGGTTGGTTTCAATTAAAGCTAGCAATTTCAGTTAATTTGAATGCAATTAACTACTGATATTATGATGGAAAGGCTAGTTACAAGATCAGCACCCCTCAAGGGAGGTTCCTTTATGCTGGTGAGGGGCTCTTGATCTAGGGAATTGGATCTGAGCTCCAATTCTCTGAATTAAGCCTGAATGCCTTCCATCCTTCCTTCCATGGGGGAGGGTTTAGCACTCCCCCATGATAATAATAACAAGACCACCAACTATTTGTGTACCATTTTTTAATAATTATATTGTACAGTTATTTAACTACTGCTAGGTAGTACGTTGGTAGACAGCAACTGCCTAGGGAGGTACTACCGTCCTGCCAAGTGAGTGTAAAATGGAAACCTGCAATTGTTTTACATGGTGGTAGGATTGCTGGTGTCTTTTTGTCTCATAAACATGCAAGATTTCAGGTACATCTTGCTACTTCTACTCACACTTGGGTCACACTACACATACATACACAAGCATATATATGCACACCCCTCTGAGTTTTCTTCTATTTTCTTACCAGTTCTTTTCTTGTTTATTTCCTCTTATCTCCAAAGGGAAGTGGAATAGAATTCTTCCTGCATAAGCCATGCGTGTTGTAGAGGCGATTAACATACCTGGAGTAAGGGGGTAGTGCCCCTTTTCCTGTATACATTACTAAAGTTAAAAACAGAAACTTTTGTTTTTCTTTTTGGGCCACCCTGCTTCAGTGGGATACGGCCAGTTCGTTGAAAGAAGATTTAACTACTTAAGTGAAATACTTGATTTTATGAATTATCTATGTTGAACATTTTAGGTTTTAGGAGAATGTTTCATAAAAGTATGGAGGGGAGTTAGACTTCTGATCTTTCACGTGGCAGGAGAGTATTTAAAAAAAAATTGTCTACATCTGTTCCAGAGAGGGTTTACCACCTGGGTCACTGGTAGAAGCCTTTCCTAAAGAACAACAGAGCCATGCTGTAACATCAACAGAAGATTCAGTGAGTCTCCTTAACATTAGGTATGACTAAATGTGACAGTATTTTGTGTAGTGTACCAGATTGAATCAAAATGGTCTTAGCAGATTAAGTTGAAATTAAGAAAAAAAAAAAGTGTAAATTTACCACGTCATTTAGTAACAATTGGTGGCCTCCCTCCATTCCTACCCTCTCTTTTTCCTCCTCCCTTTTCCTTTTTTTTTTGGGGGAGGGGGGAGGTGGTTTGGCTGGAGCTGGTAGCTGTCATGTGTGCTGAGTTGTATAAGTTGTGTTAGAAGCTACTATACAGTGGGATAACTTACAAGAGAGGCACTTAGAGAATCAGGTAATAGTCAAGTGTAAGTAAGAAGTGGGAGATCATTTGCAAGTAAGAGGGGCCAATGAAGTACTGTAACATAAATGGACAGAGAACAGTAGGAAGTGAAAAATCATAATTAAGAACCAATAAGTGCTCTGATTGATAGTGAAAAAGAAATGTTAAGGCATATGATTGCTGAAATGGATATTCAGCATTGTGAGGCATGTGTAGCTGTCCCTAAAAATTTGTGAGCTACTTTATTCATAGGTTTCACTTATCCAAAATTTGTACTGATAGGCAACTAGTGATTAGATATAATTATCCAATATTCTGACTTTTTTGTTTTTCTACACCCAAATCTCTCTTGTTCTGGTCATTATTTTTTAGAAGTACTTGTAGTAAATAGAGATTTTTTTTTTTTTTCAACAAGTCGGTCGTCTCCCACCGAGGCAGGGTGACCCAAAAAAGAAAGAAAATACTTTCATCATCATTCAACACTTTCACCACACTCACACATTATCACTGCTTTTGCAGAGGTGCTCAGAATACAACAGTTTAGAAGCATATACGTATAAAGATACACAACATATCCCTCCAAACTGCCAATATCCCAAACCCCTCCTTTAAAGTGCAGGCATTGTACTTCCCATTTCCAGGACTCAAGTCCGACTATATGAAAATAACCGGTTTCCCTGAATCCCTTCACTAAATATTACCCTGCTCACACTCCAACAGATCGTCAGGTCCCAAGTATCATTCATCTCCATTCACTCCTATCTAACACGCTCATGCACGCTTGCTGGAAGTCCAAGCCCCTCGCCCACAAAACCTCCTTTACCCCCTCTTTCCAACCCTTTCGAGGACGACCTCTACCCCTCTTTCCTTCCCCTATAGATTTATAGCTTTCCATGTCATTCTACTTTGATCCATTCTCTCTAAATGACCAAACCACCTCAACAACCCCTCTTCTGCCCTCTGACTAATGCTTTTATTAACTCCACACCTTCTCCTAATTTCCACACTCCGAATTTTCTGCATAAATATTTACACCACACATTGCCCTTAGACAGGACATCTCCACTGCCTCCAACCGTCTCCTCGCTGCTGCATTTACCACCCAAGCTTCACATCCATATAAGAGTGTTGGTACTACTATACTTTCATACATTCCCTTCTTTGCCTCCATAGATAACGTTTTTTGACTCCACATATACCTCAACGCACCACCCACCTTTTTTCCCTCATCAATTCTATGATTAACTTCATTTTTCATAAATCCATCCGCTGACACGTCAACTCCCAAGTATCTGAAAACATTCACTTCTTCCATACTCCTCCTCCCCAATTTGATATCCAATTTTTCTTTATCTAAATCATTTGATACCCTCATCACCTTACTCTTTTCTATGTTCACTTTCAACTTTCTACCTTTACACACATTCTCAAACTCATCCACTAACCTTTGCAATTTTTCTTTAGAATCTCCCATAAGCATAGTATCATCTGCAAAAAGTAACTGTGTCAATTACCATTTTGAATTTGATTCCCCATAATTTAATCCCACCCCTCTCCCAAACACCCTAGCATTTACTTCTTTTACAACCCCATCTATAAATATATTAAACAACCATGGTGACATTACACATCCCTGTCTAAGACCTACTTTTACCGGGAAGTATTCTCCCTCTCTTCTACACACCCTAACCTGAGCCTCACTATCCTCATAAAAGCTCTTTACAGCATTTAGTAACTTACCACCTATTCCATAAACTTGCAACATCTGCCACATTGCTCCTCTATCCACTCTATCATATGCCTTTTCTAAATCCATAAATGCAATAAAAACTTCCCTACCTTTATCTAAATACTGTTCACATATATGCTTCAATGTAAACACTTGATCTACACATCCCCTACCCACTCTGAAGCCTCCTTGCTCATCCGCAATTCTACATTCTGTCTTACCTCTAATTCTTTCAGTTATAACTCTACCGTATACTTTTCCTGGTATACTCAGTAAACTTATTCCTCTATAATTTTTACAATCTCTTTTGTCCCCTTTCCCTTTATATAAAGGGACTATACATGCTCTCCGCCAATCCCTAGGTACCTTCCCCTCTTTCATACATTTATTAAACAAAAGTACCAACCACTCCAACACTATATCCCCCCCTGCTTTTAACATTTCTGTCATGATCCCATCAGTTCCAGCTGCTTTACCCCCTTTCATTCTACGTAATGCCTCACGTACCTCCACCACACTTACATTTCGCTCTTCTTCACTCCTAAAAGATGGTATACCTCCCTGGCCAGTGCATGAAATTACCGCCTCCCTTTCTTCCTCAACATTTAAAAGTTCCTCAAAATATTCTCGCCATCTACCTAATACCTCCCTCTCCCCATCTACTAACTCCCCTACTCTGTTTTTAATGGACAAATCCATACTTTCCCTAGGCTTTCTTAACTTGTTTAACTCACTCCAAAATTTTTTCTTATTTTCATTAAAATTTCTTGACAGTGCCTCTCCCACTCTTTCATCTGCTCTCCTTTTGCACTCTCTCACCACTCTCTTCACCTTTCTTTTACTCTCCATGTACTCTGCTCTTCTTATAACACTTCTGCTTTGTAAAAACCTCTCGTAAGCTACCTTTTTCTCTTTTATCACACCCTTTACTTCATCATTCCTCCAATCACTCCTCTTTCCTCCTGCCCCCACCCTCCTATAACCACAAACTTCTGCCCCACATTTTAATACTGCATTTTTAAAACTATTCCAACCCTCTTCAACCCCCCCACTACTCATCTTTGCACTAGCCCACCTTTCTGCCAATAGTCGCTTATATCTCGCCTGAACTTCCTCCTCCCTTAGTTTATACACTTTCACCTCCCTCTTACTTGTTGTTGCCACCTCCCTCTTTTCCCATCTACCTCTTACTCTAACTGTAGCTACAACTAAATAATGATCTGACATATCAGTTGCCCCTCTATAAACATGTACATCCTGGAGCCTACCCATCAACCTTTTATCCACCAATACATAATCTAACAAACTACTTTCATTACGTGCTACATCATACCTTGTATATTTATTTATCCTCTTTTTCATAAAATATGTATTACTTATTACCAAATTTCTTTCTACACATAGCTCAATTAAAGGCTCCCCATTTACATTTACCCCTGGCACCCCAAATTTACCTACTACTCCCTCCATAACATTTTTACCCACTTTAGCATTGAAATCGCCAACCACCATTACTCTCACACTTGATTCAAAACTCCCCACGCATTCACTCAACATTTCCCAGAATCTCTCTCTCTCCTCTACACTTCTTTCTTCTGCAGGTGCATACACGCTTACTATAACCCACTTTTCACATCCAATCTTTATTTTACTCCACATAATCCTTGAATTTATGCATTTGTAGTCCCTCTTTTCCTGCCATAGCTTATCCTTCAACATTATTGCTACTCCTTCTTTAGCTCTAACTCTATTTGAAACCCCTGACCTAATCCCATTTATTCCTCTCCCACCCCCTTCAGCTTTGTTTCACTTAAAGCCAGGACATAGAGATATTATTATTATTATTATTATTAAGTGTCAGTATATTATAAAAGTATGGTCTCAAACACAAAATGAAACCAGATCTGAAAAAAAATCACTATGCCGACCTAAATTTGTATTTTTCATGGCTTCTAGTTTTGTGGGATCTCTAGGAATATAACCCCCTTCCCTTCCCGTGTATTTTTAGGAGCAACTATACTCAGTATGCTTTTGTAGTACAGTTCATGTGGTTGGTGTCTCATGAAATGGAGCATATCTTGAATTACTAAGGTACAGGGATGAAGTCATTTGATATGGGAGATACCTTTCTTGGATCATTGAGGTACAAGGGGAAAAGTTGTTCGGGGCTAGGTGAATTATTAAGTATTTTCTGTAGAAGCATTGCCTTCTGAAAAATTAGTGATAATTATTATTTTTAATAAAGTCAGATTATTGTTGCCTTATGTAAGAATAAGTAGTGTGATGTAAAAGTAGTTAAATGTTGGTAAAGTTTTAGAAGTTAACTGTACAGGAGTGCCCCACTTATACAGCAGGTTAGGTTTCAGGCTACCGCTTTAAAGTGAATAATGGTCTTTTTTTACTTTCAAATGCATATAAAAGCCTGATAACATGTTTACACTATAATATATTAACCCTTAAACTGTCCAAACGTAGATCTACGTTTGCACGCGTAGCCCTCCGACCTTGATTTTCTCCATAAGAAACAATGTAAAAAAACGTAGAGCTGCGTTCGGAGCGCTACATGAGCAAATGTAGATCTACGTTTGGACAGTTTAAGGGTTAAGTGAGCAATAGAGCTAGGCCTAAAAAATGCATATACAGTACACACATTACTTACCTTAAAATATTTTCCTCTTTAGCTTTTAGTGAGTGAATATATTTATTGTAAGAAGACTGAATAAATGAAGAATGGGTATAATTGAAAATCGCTGTACAGTGGAACCCCAAATATCAGACGTACAGTGGAACCTCTACTTGCGAGCGTGTCCACTTGCGAGTTTTTCCAAATACAAGCAGTCGATGGGTCAATTTTTTGCTTTCATACGCGAGCAAAATTTCCACAAGTGAGCAGACCTCAAGGCAGGTTCCCTGACACTGGTGAGGGGCTCTTGCTCTTGATCTTAGGAATTGTATCTCATTTGTTTGTTGGACTATCTTATTGAAACTAGGGCAATGTCTGATGGAAAGATGCTTCTTAACGTACACCAAAAATGAAAGAAATCTAAGCATAAATAATGGAGTTCACTTCTCAGCAATTAGTCACCTCTTAGCAGTAATTTTGAATGGTTTTTATGGTTGTATTCTCGTTTTTTGGTCTCATTTGATAGAATGGAAGATATATTACAGAAATAGATAAGATTTTGATTGCTTTCATGACGAAAAGTGTCTTGAAATTGAGCTCAACCTAGGACAAATGCTCCAAAAGTGTCTTGAAATTGAGCTCAACCTAGGACAAATGCTCCATTGCAGTCATGAATGGGTTGACATTATACAATTATTGCAATAAGGAATAACAGTAAATCTTATATTTTTTGTGTGAATAAAAATTACAAATTATTTATATAATAATAATAATAATAATAATAATAATAATAATAATAATAATGATATTTTATTCATTCTAGAGTATATATATCATGTTTCTATGTTATTTTTATTGTTTGTTATGTCATATTAGATGAACTGTGATAGATAAATAAGCCGTATAGATGATATTAGCAAAATTATTCATGAAGTATTTTGCCCGGTCTCCAGACAAACTCTCGTCTACCGCCGACACCGCCCATACCACTACATGAATGGCATATTTTAATCATTCTAGAGTATATATCATGTTTCTATGTTATTTATATTGTTTGTTATGTCATATTAGATGAACTGTGATAGATAAATAAGCCGTATAGATGATATTAGCTAAATTATTCATGAAATATTTTGCCTGGTCTCCAGACAAACTCGTCCACCGCCAATACCGCCCATTCCACTACATGAATGAAATATTTTATTCATTTTAGAGTATATATCAGGTTTCTATGTTATTTATATTGTTTATTATGTCATATTAGATGAAGTGAGATAGATTAATAAGCCGTAGAGTTGATATTAGCGAAATTATTGAAGTACATGTACAGAATTCCACTGGAACGGATTAATTGCATTTCAATTAATTTAGATGAGGAAAATTGACTCTGCAAATGAGCAAATCCAGTTGCGAGCAAGGTCGTGGAATGGATTAAACTCGCAAGTAGAGGTTCCACTGTAATCCGTTCCAGAAGGTCGGCCTAAATTCGATAAGGCCTGAATTCGAAGCAATATTTCCTATAAGAATTAATGCAGGTACAATTAGTCCTTTTCAGACATCAAAAAATAAAAAAAAATACATTTTGTAAAGTTTAACTATAGTTTTACATACACAAAACAATGACAGTCACATATAAATGAACATTTAAATCATTATTACATACCTGTATTGAAGACTTTTGTTGGCATGTGGAAGACAGGTAGGAGGGGAGAGGGAGGAGGAGAGGTTATTGTTTGGAAGGGGAATCCCCCTCCATAATGACTTCAGGTATCAAATCCCTCTCTGGGGTTACTTCCCTTGTTTTTCTTTTAATGGCACTAGGACCAGCTTGAGAGTCACTGGACCCCTGTTGCACAAAAAACTATCCAGAGAGGTCTTTTTCTAGCACCTCTGAGATTTGCCTGAAGTGGGCCAAGGTTTTGTCACTGAACATGTTGCAGATATGGCTTGTTTCAGCTTGGTCAGGGTGATATTTCTCAACAAAAGCTTGCACCTTACCCCACATTGCATAAATCTCCTTAATCTCTGAAGCAAGCTCCTCAGCTGTGGACTTTGCTGTTCCAGTTGAAGGTGTTGCAGCTCTTCAGTGGTTAGCTCTTCCCTGTGATCCTCCACCAGCTCTTCGACATCCTTGCCACTCTCATCCAACCCCATGGACTTCCCCAAAGACACAACAGATTCCACAACAGGTGTAGGGTCCTCAGGGTCAGCCTCCACCCCTTCAAAATCCTTCTTGAGGACACATTCTGGCCACAATTTTCTCCAAGAAGAGTTCAAAGTCCTGAAAGTCACTCCCTGCCAAGCCTTACCTATAAGGCTTATGCAGTTGTAGATATTGAAGTGATTCCTCCAGAACTCTCTTAGTCAATTCAGTGTCCGAGGTCACTTCAAATCACCTTAGAAACACTGCTTTTGTGTAGAGTTTTTTGAAGTTAGAAATGACCTGCTGGTCCATGGGCTGGATGAGAGGAGTGGTGTTAGGAGGCAAGAACTTCAGTTATAAAACTGAAATCCCTAGACAATTGGTCTACCAAGTTTGGAGGATGAGCAGGAGCATTGTTCATTACCAGGAAGCACTTGAATGGCAATTTATTTTCCTAGAGGTGTTTTTTCCCACTCAGGTCAAACACTTCATGGACCCAGTCAATGAAAAGTTGCCTCATGACCCATGCCTTATGATTAACTTTCCACATCACACATAATTTACTCTTGACAACATTGTTTTTCTTGAACACTCTGGGATTTTCAGTGATACACCAGTAAAGGCTTCAGTTTGAAATCCCCACTAGTGTTAGCACAGAACAGAAGTTAGCCTATCCTTCATAGGCTTGTGTCCTGGCAGTGCCTTTTCCTCCTGTGTGATGTAGGTCTTCTTTGGCATTTTCTTCCAAAAGAGGCCTGTTTCATCACAATTGAACACTTGTTGGGGTGGAATTCTTCAATTTTCTACATACCCCCTTGAATTCTTGCACAAATTTTTCAGCCGCATGTTTGTCTGAACTTGCAGGCTCACCATGCCTTACAACACTGTGTATGCCACTATGCTTCTTAAATCTGTCAAACCAGCCTCTGCTGGCCTTAAATTCACTAACATCAGCACTAGTTCCAGGCATTTTCTTTACGAGATCCGCGTGCAACTGTCTTCCCTCTTCACAAATGATCGTTTTTGAAACACGATCTCCCGCTAACTATTTTTCGCTGATCCACAATAACTACAACTCTACATCTTCCATTGTTTGTGATCTCTTTTTCGTTAACATGTTTACCCCTTTCGCTACATCAGCTTCCATGATTTGTTCTTTCTTTGCCAGGATAGAAGTGATTGTTGATTTGCTTTTGCTATACATCCTGGCAAGCTGGAGCACAATCACACCACTCATATTTTTCAATAACTTCTTTTTTAAATTCCATTGTGTTTCTCACTTTCTTTACCAAAGGAACTTAACTAGGAACTTTCTTTGGGCCCATTGTGGCTTATTTCACAGTCGTACTTAATAAACAAGGACAAAAAACAGTGGACTTTAAGGAAATGTTTGGTTGAATGTGTGGAGTAATATGTTCATGCACTGAGAGCCGTATTATACGCTGACGCGTATAATACGGCTGATTTGTGAGGCACCGGTCGAAATACGAGCAAAATTTCAGCCCAAATACCAGCCTAAATACGATTCGGCCGAAAAATGCAGTTGCTGATATTCGGGGTTCCACTGTATTAGCAAAATGCTGTAAAGCGGGGCCCGCCTATATCCCTGTACATGGAAAGTAGTGAATAAGCTAAGCAAGTTTGGAGATAAATGCTAGAAATTAGATAATGTCTTTAAAAATTTAATTATGGATATGAAAGATAAATTCCTGGAAACATTTGAGATATCACCAAGTGGTGTTATTTTAAGTGGTTTTTATCTGTATATGGCTGTAATGTAATGTTTTAAGATTAACTCTTCATATATACAGTGGGTTGTAGTACTGTGCCATAATATTCTTAAATAATCTTTGTATATAGTACTTCTGGTTTGTCAGTTATGCAAGTATGTTAAGTAAAGTAGTGTGTGTTTTGTAATTAGCAAACTAAGGATCTAGCTCCCACCACTACCTGAATTTATTGTTATACTTTATGCACAGGTATTTCTTTGTTAATCCCTGGTTTTTATAGATTAAAAAAGGGAATGGACACAGCCATGGGCTTCATGTCCTCAACATGGATACAGTAGACTGTCATTTAGCACGATTTGAGTATTGAACAATTGAAGAATTGCGACGCAATTTTATGTAACATGTCGTATAATTAATTTAACATGGTTCAGTTTGTGGGAAGGAAAAAAAAATTCTCTTTTGTTCAAGCGGCTGCCTTGTTGTGGAGCAGCTGGGAAGCCCTCCCGCCATCCCCTGCCACTCCCCGACACCACCCACCATGTGTGTCCAGTCTTTCTCTGCTACAAGGCAGCTGTGTTTGTGAATTGTGTTATATTTTAATTACTATATCTTGTATCTGCCAAGCAATCATGACACCCAGTAACCATACCAGTGTTGCTGAAAGTGGCACAAAGAGGTATAAGCACTTAAGTCTTAGAATTAACAAAGAAACAAAGATATTAGACAAGAGGTAACCTGTAGCCGTATTGAAGTGTTACTTTGTACACAGAAAAAGAGGTAAACATGAGTTTGTGTGACTGAATGACTTGACTGACTGAGTGATTTGACTGACTTCATGGACTTACTGAGTGACTTGACTGACTGACTGACTGAATGACTTAAAAGTTAGACACTCCAGTACAACCATCGACTTCAGTACCAGAACCTCTACCATCAACCTCAGCCCAGTAGTAAAAACAACATAATACATCTCAACAATGAACTACAACTACATTTTCACTTTTATTTTTGTAAGATGTGAAGGCCTAAAAAAAAGTTGTTTGGCTTTTTGGGGGCTCCCAGGAACGTAACCCCATTTTTCCCATAAGTTCTTCAGTTCATCTAACATGATTTTTACCTAAGATGGCATTTTCAGAACGTAACTACCGTGCTAAATGACGGTCTACTGTACATCATGTATTTTTTGAAGCTCTTGGCTTATCAAAAGTTTCTTCAGTTATAAAATACTTTTGCCCACAGAAAGCAGTTGAGCCTTTACAAGAGAAAATATAGAAGAGAGAGAGAGCGGAGAAGGCACAGTGAAAGGAAACTGTCACGCCTACAGGTGCAGTTGCAAGAAATTCACTTATTAGATGAAGAAACTGTTTCTCATATTGAAGCCTGCTTTTTAAAGTTTCAAAATTTTTTAACACTTTTACAAAATAATGGGTAAGCATAATATAGTACATTCTTTTTATTTTATTATCTGGGTGCCTATGCTTTCATGATTATTTTAAATTTGGATTATAGGATGAAATTATAGATTAGAGAGTGAATTGCTCATCTTTTATTCTTGTCTACCGATATAAAATAATTAGTAACATACAGTTTCTGTTAACAGATTTTCTTGGCAGCCAACTTTCTTCCAAGAATCAGAAACAAAACAAAATGAGGCCAGTGAAAAATTGCAGTCTGGTTCTAGTTTATCAACTCTGCCAGGCAGCGAGTTTGGTGTATTAACCATAAAAGCTAAAAATTCACAATCCCCTTCAAATATCCCTATTCCAATATTCTTTGACAAGAGATCATATACTAAAAATGGTTTATCTCCAAAGGAAGTTGGAGATACTGCCACTTACATACAAACCCAGAAATTTATGCAAGATACTGTTCCTCAAGGTTTTCCTTTGAATTTGAAATCTAAAGAAAAGACAGAAGACATAGTGCCTGATAAAAAAGATGAAGTTTTGTTGGAACAACTTAATAGTGATATTAAAGTTGGGAGAAGCATGTTATCTATATTTTCACAATACTCGGTGCCAAAAGTAAATCGTGAAATAATAGTACGTTCAGGGCCAAATTGGGATAAAATAATTCATGATATACCAACTGGTGATGACAGTAATGAGATACACACTAGGGATAAGGAACATATTTTCAATGAAGTAAATGGAGCAGGAAAACAATTATCTAATGGAGTAGAGAGCTTTGAGAGGAAATTTTCTGATGAAATAGTTGACGCCTCTAAAAAAAAGCTACATTATTTAGCAAAGAGCACTGGTATATTACCTGAGGTAGAAGAGAGTTCCAAGAGAAAGTTACCTCATAAAGTGAATGGTGCTGAAGTAGAGGACACACACAAAAAAGTTTCTAATACAGTAAAAAGCACTTTAACTGTTACTTTTGGGAAACACTTAGAACAAGATAAAACATTAAGCTACATGACAAGTATGACACAAATACAAATTGCAGAATAAATGATGATATCCAATTGGCCCATGAGAAGGAATTGGTAATGAGTGGCTGGAAAACAGGAAATGGTATTACTAGTATGTATGATGACATAAATAAAACAAGCCCTGTTGTTGAATACCCAAGGAAAATGTCACCAGACATTATCAATACAAAAAGAAATAAAGAGGCTGAACAAATTGATTTAAAATTAAAAAACACACAGGATAATATGGAATTAGAAAGTGTTTTAATGTCACATAATGCTTTGGTTGATTTAAGTAAGGTATCACCTGATAGCGATGACTATACAGTGAGCTCTCATCATATTAATAAAGAAAAAGATCAAAGTAATTTGTATGAAGCAAAGCAATCTGTTAAAGTAAATAACTGTCAAAATCTTGCTGACAAATTTCAATTAAGAGACAAAACAAGGAATAAAAAACAAGTGACTAAAAATATCGAAACAGGACTAAGAGTAGATATCAGTGAAACGGACGATGATAAACTGAGAATGCAAAAAGCCTCTTCCCTTTTATTGAATAGAAGTGGTTCGGCTTCATCCTCAGTAAGCATATCTGAGCACCTTAGTCAGTCTCATTTCCACTGGTGTAAAGGTACAAATAAGACAGAAAAAGGAAATTCAGAGCCTATAGATAAAACACCTAAAGAAGAAACCAGAGAAAGTATAGACAATAGTGGAGGAATGTATAGCGACATTAAAATGGAAATTCCTCAGTTTGTTCTAGTACAAACTGAACCTATCTCTATGGAGTATGGCAGTGATTTTGAAGTCAGTGATGTTGAGGGAGTGAGTATTTCTTCTGCATCATTGGCCACTACATCTATCCCTGAGGATCTGCTAACACCAGGAGAGGAAGAATTTTGATTGTGCTGCCACCATTATGACCTGTGGGGAGCATTTCATTATTACCCATCCCTGTCCACACCAAATGTTCAGCATCACATGATCATTACAAGAGCTTATTGTACTCCCAGGCACATTTCAGATCAATCTCCTATTTACTGTACTCTCACTCTTTAACCCTTAAACGGTCCAAACAGATCAACGTTCAAATTCATAGTGCTACAAAATTAGATCTACTTTTTTTTACATATTTTCAAATATAACAAAAAAAAATGTAGATAAAAGTTTTTTTACACGTTTTCAAATGTAAAACAAAAAAGATCTACATTTTTTTTACTTTCAGATGTTGAAAAAACGTATATATACGTTTGGACCATTTAAGGGTTAATAGGCTTAGCTGTATATTGTGGCACTTATTGAAAGCTTATGTGAAACTATTATTACAATCAAAACTAAGCACTAAATCCACAAGGATCTTACAGTTATTATTATACTGAAAAACATGCACTAAACTTGTATGCATAATACATGAAACTCGGACAGTGCATTTAATAATGACATTACAATTCTGATGTTCTCTATGGTTTGTCTTAGCAATTAAAATATGTATTACCTTTTAAATATGTAAATTTGTACTAAAAGAAATTACATCTAGTCAAGACTAGTCATGTCTGTATGCAGTTTTGTTTTATGGTATGGTGTATACAGAATCTGCATTTTCTGAAATAAAAATATTTACAAATTTATTAATTTGATCATATCACTGCCTTCTGACATTAAAACAAAAACTTAAAGTTCATAATCAGGTGGGCTTTTTACTAACACAGTACTTACCTAAATACAAGTACAGTAAATCTGAAATGACCTCACTTAACAATCAATACTATTGATAAAAAACATCTATATGAAAAACAATACAGAATGGGTCTAATAACTAGTGATCTGGCTAAATGTTACTCATCAGTACTAACTAACCTAACAGGGAGGTCGAAAAAACTGTATTATGAAAACAGATTGCATTACGTAATAGGTGATATGAAAAAGATCTGGAAAACCTTATCTGAAATTCTAGTATCTAAAAAGATGTCACAAAACAGAATGATCAACCTATTATTATTATTATAATCAAAAAGAAGCGCTAAGCCACAAGGGCTATACAGCAATGATCAACCTAACGAAACTGGAAGAACCTCTCCTCCAGCCAACTGATACTGCCAACAAACTTAATGTCTTCTTTGCGACCATAGGAAAAAAGCTAGCAAGCAAAATCCCAAACTCAAACATTTAACCAAAAGACTACCTCACTGGCAACTACCCAAATACTCTATTTTTAGCACCAACTAACTACTGAGATCTCATTCATCAAAACATTAACGAACAAGGTAGGAGACCTAAATAACTTACCACCACTTATGTATAAAACAGCTTCTCATGTGTTGTCCCCAATCACTGCAACTCTCTTTAACAAATCCATTGAATCTTCCACCTTCTCATCCATACTCGAGACAGCAAGGGCTACCCCGATCCTCAAAGGAGGTGATCCAACTGAACTGAACAACTATAGGCCTATATCAAACTTGCCCCTTCTATCTAAAATCTTCGAAAAATTAATTCACAAACAAGTCTACTCCTTAGTATCCCACAACATACTCAACCCCAGTCAGTCTGGATTCAGACCGAAAAAGATGATGCTCGAACTAATACATGTATATATGGCACTCAGAAAAAAGGAACTCCCCCTGGGACTTTTCATCGACTTACATAAAGCTTTTGATACAGTTGACCATGACCTATTGCACCAAAAGTTAGCATATTACAGGATCGCAGGACACTCTCTCAATTACCTAAAATCCTATCTTAACAATAGAAACCAGTATGTATACACAAATGGAGCTAACTCCACTACTCAGCCTCTTTTTGTTCGGGTCCCACAGGGAAGTGTCCTTGGCCCACTTCTCTTTCTCATTTACATCAATGATTTACCATGCATCTAAACTCTTTAAACCCATATTATTTGCAGATTACACTACTTATGGATTTATGGATTTACAAAAGGCATATGATAGAGTGGATAGGGGAGCAATGTGGCAGATGTTGTAAGTACTATATGGAACAGGTAGTAAGTTACTAAATGCTGTAAAAACTCTTTATGAGGATAGTGAGGCTCAGGTTAGGGTGTGTAGAAGAGAGAGAGACTACTTCCCGGTAAAGGTGGGTCTTAGACAGGGATGTGTAATGCCACCATGGTTGTTTAACATATTTATAGATGGGGTTGTAAAAGAAGTAAATGCTAGGGTGTTGGGGAGAGGCATGGGATTAAATTATGGGGAATCAAATACAAAATGGGAATTAACACAGTTACTTTTTGCTGATGATACTGTACTTATGGGAGATTCTGAAGAAAAGTTGCAAAGGTTAGTGGATGAGTTTGGGAGTGTGTGTAAAGGTAGAAAGTTGAAAGTGAACATAGAAAAGAGTAAGGTGATGAGGGTAACAAATGATTTAGATAAAGAAAAAATGGATATCAAATTGGACAGGAGTATGGAAGAAGTGAATGTTTTCAGATAGTATTTGGGAGTTGACGTGTCAGCGGATGGATGTATGAAGGATGAAATTAACCATAGAATTGATGAAGGAAAAAAGGTGAGTGGTGTATTGAGGTATATGCGGAGACAAAAAAACATTATCTATGGAAGCAAAGGGAATGTATGAAAGTATCGTGGTACCAACACTCTCATATGGGTGTGAAGCTTGGGTTGTAAATGCTGCAGTGAGGAGGCGGTGGAGATGTCCTGTCTAAGGGCAATTAGGAGAAAGTGTGGAGTTAATAAAAGTATTAGTCAGAGGGCTGATGAGGGGTTGTTGAGGTGGTTTGGTCATTTAGAGAGAATGGATCAAAGTAGAATGACATGGAAAGCATATAAATCTATAGGGGAAGGAAGGTGGGGTAGGGGTCGTCCTCGAAAGGGTTGGAGAGAGGGGGTAAAGGAGGTTTTGTGGGTAAGGGGCTTGGACTTCCAGCAAGCGTGCGTGAGCGTGTTAGATAGGAGTGAATGGAGACGAATGGTACTTGGGACCTGACGATCTGTTGGAGTGTGAGCAGGGTAATATTTAGTGAAGGGATTCAGGGAAACCGGTTATTTTTATATAGCCGGACTTGAGTACTGGAAATGGGAAGTACAATGCCTGCACTTTAAAGGAGGGGTTTGGGATATTGGCAGTTTGGAGGGATATGTTATATTTTTTTTTTTTTTTTTTTCAACAAGTCGGCCGTCTCCCACCGAGGCAGGGTGACCCAAAAAAGAAAGAAAATCCCCAAAAAGAAAATACTTTCATCATTCAACACTTTCACCACACTCGCACATTATCACTGTTTTTGCAGAGGTGCTCAGAATACAACAGTCTAGAAGCATACACATATAAAGATACACAACATATCCCTCCAAACTGCCAATATCCCAAACCCCTCCTTTAAAGTGCAGGCATTGTACTTCCCATTTCCAGTACTCAAGTCCGGCTATATAAAAATAACCGGTTTCCCTGAATCCCTTCACTAAATATTACCCTGCTCACACTCCAACAGATCGTCAGGTCCCAAGTACCATTCGTCTCCATTCACTCCTATCTAACACGCTCACGCACGCTTGCTGGAAGTCCAAGCCCCTTACCCACAAAACCTCCTTTACCCCCTCTCTCCAACCCTTTCGAGGACGACCCCTACCCCACCTTCCTTCCCCTATAGATTTATATGCTTTCCATGTCATTCTACTTTGATCCATTCTCTCTAAATGACCAAACCACCTCAACAACCCCTCTTCTGCCCTCTGACTAATACTTTTATTAACTCCACACCTTCTCCTAATTTCCACACTCCGAATTTTCTGCATAATATTTACACCACACATTGCCCTTAAACAGGACATCTCCACTGCCTCCAACCGTCTCCCTCGCTGCTGCATTTACCACCCAAGCTTCACACCCATATAAGAGTGTTGGTACTACTATACTTTCATACATTCCCTTCTTTGCCTCCATAGATAACGTTTTTTTGACTCCACATATACCTCAACGCACCACTCACCTTTTTTCCCTCATCAATTCCATGATTAACCTCATCCTTCATAAATCCATCCGCCGACACGTCAACTCCCAAGTATCTGAAAACATTCACTTCTTCCATACTCCTCCTCCCCAATTTGATATCCAATTTTTCTTTATCTAAATCATTTGACACCCTCATCACCTTACTCTTTTCTATGTTCACTTTCAACTTTCTACCTTTACACACATTCCCAAACTCATCCACTAACCTTTGCAATTTTTCTTTAGAATCTCCCATAAGCACAGTATCATCAGCAAAAAGTAACTGTGTCAATTCCCATTTGAATTTGATTCCCCATAATTTAATCCCACCCCTCTCCCAAACACCCTAGCATTTACTTCCTTTACAACCCCATCTATAAATATATTAAACAACCATGGTGACATTACACATCCCTGTCTAAGACCTACTTTTACCGGGAAGTAGTCTCCCTCTCTTCTACACACCCTAACCTGAGCCTCACTATCCTCATAAAAACTCTTTACAGCATTTAATAACTTACCACCTATTCCATATACTTGCAACATCTGCCACATTGCTCCTCTATCCACTCTATCATATGCCTTTTCTAAATCCATAAATGCAATAAAAACTTCCCTATCTTTATCTAAATACTGTTCACATATATGCTTCAATGTAAACACCTGATCTACACATCCCCTACCCACTCTAAAACCTCCTTGCTCATCCGCAATCCTACATTCTGTCTTACCTCTAATTCTTTCAATTATAACCCTACCGTACACTTTTCCTGGTATACTCAGTAAGCTTATTCCTCTATAATATTTACAGTCTCTTTTGTCCCCTTTCCCTTTATATAAAGGGACTATACATGCTCTCTGCCAATCCCTAAACTAAACTATTGTATCTGGGAACCTCTGCAAAAACAGTGATTATGTGTGTTGAATGATGAAAGTATTTTCTTTCTGGGGATTTTCATTTTTGGGTCACCCTGCCTTGGTGGGAGATGGCTGACTTGTTGACAAAAAAAAAAAAAAGTCTTGACTTTGCTGCTATGTTGCTTTGTGCATTTGAATTAGTCTTTAATAAAATACTTTATCACTGCACAAATGATGTCTTTATTAAAACCCCAAATTTAAGAATAATATATTACCTTCTTGATTATTTTGGATTTTGTATTCTTTATTTTTTCTTCTTCACTATTTTCATTAGAGGTCTCTCTGTTTGAAAGATGACATTACATGTAGAGCAGAGTGGTACTGCTTTGCAGTACACAGAGAGGCAGTTGGAACACACATTTCCCATTTCTACTAGTGTACGATGACAAAAACAAGCAGCTCGGTAATCAACACTGTCCATTGGAGGCACATTCAATTTCTTTCGTGTACCAACATCTGCTTGATACATTAGAATCAAACACTGCAAAAGCTCTGAAACCTGCAATATTATGAGTTTATTAATGAGCAGTTGTATAAAGTAAATAATTGTACATGCCCCTTTGTTCCACTGTTGTATGGAATTGTATCTTTGGCTATCATGGTAGTGCAACACTAATATATGGTTAAGAAAATCTCACTGGAAATGTAAGATCATTACAGTACTAGAATATAAGGAAAGTAGTGTTTTTAAAAGTAACAGCTTAAGTAAAAATACTGTACTCATTCAATAACACTACTCCTTTCCTCCAAAAAAAACTTAGCATAAAAAACTTCACTGATAACCACTGAAAGATGGCAAAAAAAATACTAAGGCTATAGAAGAATAATTTGCTCCATATAATAGGGGTAGAACGGAATAATTAACCCCTTAACTGTCCAAACGTAGATCTACATTCTCTCCCCCAGTATTTTTATTTTTTTTTTAATAAAGAGGGCATTTTTTTTACATAAAGTAATGTAAAAAAAAAAAAATTTAGAGTCAGTACTTACAGAGATATAAGGTCACAAATTAGGTGCTTGTCGCTCACCTGATGGCAACATGAAGTGCTGCTGCTTGCAGACGTGTTGCCGATATACCTTTTTTTCTCATTTTTTTTTAATTTGTGTAATTTTTATGTTCTGATAATTACAATTTGTAGTAGTTCTTGTGATTTCATAGCTAATCTTTGTTCTGACACTAATATTAGGTATTGAAATAGTACTCAAATAGTCACAAACACAGTGACAGGTGAAAAATTTAACCTACCTTAGTCACATACTGTTGTCTAGAAATATATACGTAGTACAGTGGACCCTCGCCTAACGAACGCATCGCATAATGTTAAATTCGCCTTAANAAAGATACATTTTAACGCTAACATTTTGCCTCGGCTAACGCTAAAAAACTTGCCTAACGATATTCGTTCTCAGGTACCAATTAATATCGTTAGGTGAGGGTCCACTGTATTTATAGGTCCCAGCAATGTTTTGGATATGCAGGAGTATATAATAATAATAATAATAATAATAATAATAATAATAATAATAATAATAATAATAATAATAATCCTAGGTAGTAGGTTGGTAGACAGCAACTGCCCAGGGAGGTACTACCATCCTGCCAAGTGAGTGTAAAATGAAAGCCTGTAACAAAACCTACTACATTATGTTTGGTAGCAGAGCAGGAGTTGCACAAATTAACATTAAGATTGACAACACTCTAATTGCCGGGCATAATGAGGGCAAATTCCTAGGCCTATACCTCAACAACAACCTGAATTTCAGCACCCATATCCGACACATAACCAAAAAAGTATCCAAAACGGTTGGGCTCCTCTCCAAGATACGATACTACGTGCCACAAACTGCCCTTCTCACACTATACCATTCACTTATATATCCATACCTCACCTATGCTACTGTGCTTGGGGTTAAATTGCAGCAACACACCTAAAGCCAATAAAACCCAACAAAAAGCCGCAGTAAGAATAATCACAAAAATCCCATCCCTGGCAACACACCCCACCACTCTTCATAGATCTAAACTTACTCCCTGTTCAGTACATCCACACTTACTACTGTGCAATCTACATCTACAGGACCTTAAATTCCAATATTAACCTTGACCTAAAACGCTTTCTTGATAGTTGTGACAGAACCCACAGGCATAACACCAGACACAAACATCTCTATGACATTTCCCGTGTCCGACTAAACCTTTACAAAAATTCAATGTATGTCAAAGGCCCTAAAATCTGGAACACCCTACCTGAAAACTCTAGAACTGCAGACACATTCATCACCTTCAAAACTACCATTAAAAAACATCTAATCTCCCTGATACACCCTGTCAACTAATTACACGAATACCACCTGGTGGTTCACACTTACACTCACTCACCCATTTGACCATAAAATGAGAAAAAAAGGGTAAAGAGGTTTTTGTGGCATTTATGGATTTAGATAAGGCATATGACTGGGTGGATAGGGGGGCAATGTGGCAGATGTTGCAGGTGTATGGTATAGGAAGCAGGATACTGAAAACAGTGAAGAGTTTTTACGAGGATAGTGAGGCTCAGGTTAGAGTATGTAGGAGAGAGGGAGATTATTTCCCAGTAAAAGTAGGCCTTAGACAAGGATGTGTGATGTCACTGTGGTTGTTCAATATATTTATAGATGGGGTTGTAAGAGAAGTGAATGCTAGGGTCTTGGCAAGCTGTGTAGAGTTAAAAGATAAAGAATCAAACACAAAGTGGGAGTTGTCACAGTTGCTCTTTGTTGATGACACGGTGCTTTTGGGAGATTCTGAAGAGAAGTTGCAGAGGTTGGGGGATGAATTTGGTAGGCTATGTAAAAGAAGAAAATTAAAAGTGAATAAAGGAAAGAGTAAGGTTATGAGGATAACAAAAAGATTAGGGGACGAAAGACTGGATACAAAAAATTGGGGGAGAGTAGGAAAGGGGAGGTTGGAATTTTTTTTCCAAAAATATTTAGGGTGGATTTCAGCAATTTAAAAAAGGATAGGTAAATTAAAAAATTATAGTGGGAAAGGGTGTGGTGCAAAATTGATTCTGTAGATTTAAGGGGAACTTTACGGAAAGCAAAAACGGAATTAAATATTTTTTACCAAACTTTTTTATTTTATAATTTATTAATTATTGCAAAGAGGAGAAGCTAGGATTTAATTTTCCTCTGAAAGCAATGTGTGTTTAATAATAATAAAAAATTTCGTAATTAAATTAGGAAATTTAAAACCAAAATTTATTTCCAGAGAGGAGGTTTTTGGGGGTTTGGCCCTGGAGAATGAACAAACAGTGGGACTTGAAGGTATTAAAATCATGGGGAGTGGAGGGAAAGGCAGGGGTAAAAGGAAAATTCGGGGGCCCCCGTTGAGGGGGGGGGGTATAGGAGAGAAGTTTTGGATATTAGGGGATTGGACTTTCCCCAAAGGGTCATGAAAGGATTTTAGGGGAATGGACCCAAATTTAAATGAGGTGCATTGGGAGTTTTGAGCAAAGAACTTTTAGAAAAGGGATTTAAAGGGAAAACCGGAGGTGGACTTGAGTTGGAATGGGGAAGGTTAGGCAGTGGGTTTATTCTGAAGGGGGGGGTGTTATTGCAGGAATTCTATTTAAATTAAGAAGGTGTGGAATTTCCCAAACCCTTCCAAAAAGGGTGGAGGTGTGATGGTTTTCCCTTTTTGGGGCAAGCCCTGCCTTTTGGGGGGGGGTAAAGGAATTCTGTCTGGGGGTAAGGGTGGTTTTTAAATAATAAAAAATTTAAAAATTTAAACCAGGTGGAATCCAAGGTAGTTTACCCACTTGTTTGCTCCTTATTGGATGGGGCCCCCCCTTTAACCAAAAAAAAAAAATTTAACGGTTTTCCACGGGTCCCCAAGGAAATAAAGGTGGGGCCCAGATTTTTTTAATACTGCATCAATGAGTGTTAAGACCCATTCTATGCTGACCAGGTATCTCAGGCCAATCGTGCCAAATATGGAGGTAGGAAAAATAAAAAAATAGATCTACATTTGGACAGTTACCCTTTCAGGGTCCGTCCCGTAGATCTACGGCTGGTCGGTGAGTGTCCAAACCGTAGATCTACGCCAAAATTCTAGTGCCATCAAATTTAGCGCGAAAGCGCTCATGGGCCCTAAATATGAGAGAATGGGTCGCGCCGTGGGTGTGCCCCGTAACAAAAAATCTAGGCGCCTGCTGATTGGGGGGGAACGCCGGCTCAGTCACCTTGTTCACCATGCCTCGTCGCAAGTCAGCTCTCACCCCCCGGAAATTGGGCCCTTCCTCTTCCTGTCTGATAGTTCTGACACGGGAAGTGGAAATGAAGACAAATTCTACGGCTTTGATAAGTATGCCCGAAAAAATGCCAATATCATAATAGTGAGAAAACCCCGCGACCCCTCGCCCTTTTAACCTTGGTGGACTCGGACTCGGGTCGGGGTTCCAAAACGAAAGGGAAAAACAATTTTTCCCGGGCCCTGGCCTTGACTTCGTAATGACGTATTCTGACGTGGATTGTGATTTTTTTTGCGCTCGAATCATTCGATAGTGATAGTGGGGGGAAAACATATTCACCAGTGAAGCGTGGGAGTTCGCCGCCGCATGCGCTGGGGTAGTGTACCTATGTGTGCCCGGGGACGGAGTACATCCCGGGTAACCCCGGGGGGCCTACACCCTTTTTGGTAGTGATAGTGAGGATGATGTGGTACACTTGGCATGGAGGGGCCACAGACATCAGGGAGGTGTTGGGGGCTGGGGGGTGGTGTGGCACCGCCATGCGGACCCTGTGCCCCGGGGCCCCCACGTGCTGACTCGTCGTTCAAGGACAAAGGGGAGCGTCACCCACCACCCGCCACAACCCCCCGTAAAACCCAGCCTATAGCCCAGTATCCCCCAGCAAACCTATCTGGGATTGGCGAAAAACCCAATTTTGTTCCACCCCTCCCCATTTTGATACTTCAAAGTGGAATTTACCTACCTGTCCCCTTGGAACCAGGGGCCAATGAAGGGAATTTTTGAATTATTCTTTGACCAGATTTGATGGGAAATTTTTGAAAAGGGAAAAGTATAAGTATTTTCATACACCATGGAAAACCCCTTACCCCCCACATCAAAAAAAAACCACAAAAAACGACCCCCCCCCCCCCCAAAAACCAACAAAACACCCCCACCAAAAAAACAAAAAAAAACAAAAATAATTTTTACCCCCCCCCCAAAAAAAACCAAAATTTTTTTTCTTTACAAAATTTTGCATTTCTGCAAAAACCAGGCCTGCAAGTGACGGGTTTTAAAACAAGATTGAAATTTTTTTCATGTATCCAAAAAAGTTAGGAATACTTTTCCATTCAAGAATTTTTAAAATTGACGAGTCTTTGATTTTGTTAAAGGTTGCTGTCTTCAAGAGTAATAGAGAAAAGGAAAGCTTTGGTATAAAACTGTTTGACTCGTGATTGTGCCAGTGGCCTGGTGTGGATTTGTTTGTTCACGGGTAGTAAAAAATTGA